AATTGTGTTTGTAAATTTTTTTACAGCATACTTGTTACTTAACATATCCCCATTTTGTGTAATATTACACTGCTCAGAGGTCACAGCAAAAATACTTAAAATATTTTGCTTACATAGTATAAAAAGTCCCCCCAATTGCTTTTGAATTGGAGATGAGGGGAAAAGCTCCTTAAAACAAAGTGATTTTCTGATTAGTTTCCATTAGTTCATATATTATAACATGACTTGAACACTTAATGGTGGAAGCATGGTAACCAATAGCTAAAAGTTCAGATATTTGTATAGTAATTTACTTCTATAAAAGATTGTATCATAATTTAGAGTAGATCAGGTACATGAAGCAGTTGATGTGCACTTAGGGATTTTTGTGGTGGACTGTCATAGAAAAATAATGCCAGTGAACCAAGAAATTATGAATGCATGTGGGGGCATTACACACAACACATACTAACCACTCCATCTGCCCAATTTATTAAAAAGAATCTCAACCCAAACATTTACTTGCTGACCAATGGCTGAAAACATTTCTGTGTATTTACTTAACTATTTTTACTAAAACCATTGAAAAAATAATTTGTCATTACTTCTGCTTTCCTTAAGGCTGAAAAGTACAAACCACATCTATGCTCACCTAACATCTGCTACCTGGTTCAATGGTCTTGATGCCCAAGATTTTGAGCTTTTTATATTTTTCATATATTTGTAGCTTTGTAGATCATTAATACTACACAGATGTAACTCCTAGTAATTTTCCTGTCCTCTTTCCCAACATTTAGGAACAATAAGCTAACCTCCTAAAATACCATCTAGTCTTATTCCAAGAAGAGAACCAAGTACAAGAATGTTCTGCTTTCCAATCAGAATCTAGAGATAGTGGACTAGCAATAACAGAATTGGGGCAAAGAAGCCCTTGTGTGCTTCCAGTGGGGCAGAACGCTGGGAATTATTACTTAACCAACCAACCTTTTAATTGGACAATATGTGATAGGTATACTAATCAATTAACCTTAAAAGAATTGTAGAATTACTGTACCATGTGCATTTTTTGCAATATTGTGTACTTGAAAGTTTTCAAGCAAAGGTTTGCTTTTATGTTATCACTAATGTTGTTTGGGAAGATCTCTTCTATTTTTCAGGCCGCTGCCTAACACAAATGACAAATCCTACTAAGGCTTCACTTCCCAAACAAATCCTCTCCAAGAGATTTTTCAAGGCTGACAAATAGATGCATGTTCAAAGTTCCTTCATATCCTTGGATGAGAGACCTTTGTAAAGACTCCAGGAAAGGGAGCAGGTTTTGGGAACAATGCTTGCACCAGCTTCAGGAACAGACACATGAGGACCACTGGCTTGTAGCTGGCATAGCCAGGTTTTCCAAAACAAGGAACAAAATCAGATAGGTAGAGGCAATTCTAAACCAGAAATGTTTTTAAACAGAAAATATTTTGGCCTATGCCTAATTTTTTACAGGCTATTTTGTGGTTTATTATTGGTTATATTTTTTCTATATGTGGGCTTAGCTCTCATCCTTCATAAAGTACTTTTTGCATTAAATAAGACAGGAACATACACTCTTCTTGCAAAGCAGGCAAAGTAAACAATATTCTCCAAACCACTGGCTGAAGCCCACAAAATTGCTTGTGCAGCAGCAGATTTGCTGCTGACAAGCCCTGATGCCCCATCACTTGTGCTACTGCAAAGCGCACCAAGGATTACAACAGGACCCTGCTGTGAGCGAGCTGTCCTGAAACTAGATTACCTTCAAGTGATAATCTTCTCTGGCTCACACATTAGAAGCACACACACCACCCACTTTTAACCAGAAGTAGCAGAGTAGCTGTGCCACTATCCCAGACTCCAAGGGGCTGAAACAGTGAAATATGCACAGTCATGGGAAAAAGGGGAGGTCAAGTTTAACAAATTCTCCTACAGGAGCCACGGGCAAGCCCATGACTCCATCAAAGCAGGAACCGTGCTAATGTGGTGGTGGCTCCTGCTGCACAGATACTTGAGCTTTTGTGACCTACAGCAAAACACATGACAAAAAACCAGTAGTGGCCCAGATGACACACAGGTGGTTCTACAAGAAAATGAGTTTACCTGGTTTCAAGATTTTTTTCAAAATTATCACATAGAATGTTCTCCCAATCCTGGCTGGAAGTCTGTTCTTGACACCTTCACAATGACTCAGCAGAATTTTGTCAAAGCACTTAATTGGCTTTCTAATTGACAGTGAAGCATAATTTAGGCCTGAAAGCACCTACCCTTCCACACAAAACCACCCAAACCCTCTATTTTAGTTCAGAAAAAAAATCTGATGCTTTTGCCAACCAAAAGCCACAAAACATACATTATGAAGCAAACCATTCTGTGTTATTCCAGTTTCATAAGGAAAACATGCAAGGGACATTAAATATGATGAAAAGAGGAAGTCAGGGTCACTCCTGGAGCCATAACTCTGAAGTCTTTTATTTCCATTCCTATGTTTAGTGCTAACCACATCCATTCTGGAGACCAGTAATGTACCCCTTTGAGCAGGGGGGGGCTGCAACCTCAAGTAGAATCCCAAAGCCTACTCCTCCAAAATCTTACCTGAAATCCTGCAGGACATATCAAAATCTTCTGCAGTTTAAAAAAAAAAAAAAAAAACCTGATCAAGAAAGCATGAAGATACTGGCTCTCTTACCCTACAAAGCAGAGGTCTCAGAGAAGCATTTAGGTGTTGCAGCATGAAAGACTAGTAACAACTTCTTTGGCTCAGCCAATTTAGAAAAATAAAACGAACTTTCACTAAATATCAAGGTGAATCAAAAACCTTGGGTGGGATCTGGCTCTCCAGAAATTTCTGAAAATAAACCAAATCCTGGAGACAATCTTAAGTAAAAAGCATAAAGCAAACTTAATCAGCTCTCCAATGCTTACCCTGCATAGGCCCCAAGGCCACTTCTTGTGTTTCATTTCCTGGAAAAGCCCTAATTTGACACCAAAGCATTTTGATAAGAAAATTACAATTTCAACCTAATTCCTTCCTTCAAAAAACATTTAGGAAGTGTTGATTCTATTCCAATAAAAAAAAAAACTTGGCATGAAAAGATGTCATTCCCTAGTATTAATTCATTGCTATGTAAAATGGTAAGGTGACACTAAAAATAAGAAACATTGCTCAACGTTTACTGAGGTGTCATTCCACTGCAGCTAAAGAAACACCACCTAATAAACTTGCTTGTAAACTACAGCTCCCCTTACTTGAATCCCTTCATAGCAATTCAGAGGAAACATAATAACCCAGCTACTGCTAATGTTGCCGTAAATCAAAACACATATCATAACACATATTGGTATAAATCAAACACAAAAAACATTTTGATGTCATTTCTCTCACACCAAGTTAAAAAGTGTCAAATTAATATTTCGTAAACCTAAATAGTTTGTGTTAGCTGGACTCTTCTCAACTTGGTTGCAGGCTTAACACATATGAATTAAATCATGGAATAAATCATGTTGGAAAAGATCATGGAGTCCCAACTGCTAACCAAACACTGCCAAGCCCACCACTAAACCACATTCTTAAGTGTCCCATGTACAGTCTTTTAACTGCCTCCAGGACTGATTCCACCACTTCCCTGGGGAGCCTGCTCCAATCCCTCACCATATTTTCTAATACCCAGGCTAAAGCCCCCCAGGGCACTTTCTCTTAACCTGTAACTTGCTACTTCTGAGACCCCCACCTCATCACCTCCTTTCAGATGGTTGTAGTGGCATGGTCTCTCCAAAGCCTCCTCCAGGCCAAATAACCCAGCCTCCTAACTGGCTCCAGACCTTTCACAAGATTGGCCATCCTCCTTTAGACAAACTCCAGTACCTTAAGTCTGTTTTCTGAGAACATGCATCAAGTCTAACAAAAGGATACAGACCTCGCAGATTTAAACAGGTGACTTCACTGAGTACACCTGAAAATGTTACTACAGAAACATTTCAACAACCCAAGTTACCCAGATCTACTACAAAGCTTGGTTAAGGCCAAAACTGAGACCCTTCAAGAGCTTCACAGAGCTGTAACAAAAGTGCATCTGAGCCAGCTGGAGATGCCTGCCTTTGCTCTTATGCTTATGACTAGGGATATCAAGAGGGGTTACAAACCGTAATGAAAATGCAAATTGAGCCTGAAAATGGAAAACATTCCCATCTCCTCAGCCACAGGTGCTCACATATTCACATTCATATCTTACACGTTAGCATAATAGTGTAATTCCTTATGACTCACTCCACTTAAGAGCTACTCTGCAGGAAACTGAAGACACATAAAACAATTTGCAGGAGCGAAACAAATCATACCTTCCAGTCCAAATCCCTCGCTTCCAAAAAACACATGAAAACCCCTAAGTTCTGAATATCAATTTACTACAGAAACCAAACCACTGCCTCATCTGAGCAAGTGAGAACTCAACTACTTGGCTACTCTACCTACTAAGAACTACAGAATCAGATCTACAAGTGCATGACAATACGAATTAGAAGATGCTATCACCCCACAATTTGAGGCAGAGGAACAAGTAAAACACATTGTGTCCATTAAGCTCCCTAGATAAATTAAGAAAGCAAATAGAAATTCTGCAACCTCTCCTAAGACTTGGGAAACAATTAAGGCCACTCCTTGTCTCAGCAGAGGGACACAAATTTTTATCACAGAGGCAGCAAGACAAGTTACACAGAATCCTTGAAATACACCAAAGCACTACCAAGCAAGGATAGTAGTTGATAGAACTGTCTGCATTATTACAACTTGAATCTGTGCCATGCTCTAGCTGGTGACTTCTGGGATAGGAACAGGAAACAGACCTACCCTGAAACAGGAATGCAGGGATCCCCACAATCTTTTTTGCAAACTGACACAGTTAAAATACTAATAAACTGCACCAACATTTGCGAATTTTTCACAGTTCTGATGCCATCCTTGGCAACTCAAACAACTGTTCCACAGATACCAAATCAATCACACATACACTAGACTGGTTCAAAATTTATTTGTCATTCATTTCTTGCACTTGAAGTACTCTTCGATGACATCTTTGGCCTGAGATTCCTTGCCATAGTCCTGTAACACAAAATAACCCATTATTAGCATCCAGACCCTAGATTTTACCAGCTTTTTTACAAGGACAAATGGGATTCTAAGAGTTTTCCACAAGGAAATGCCAAAATTCCACACAAGCTCGAGCAATTTGCCATTTTCCCCTTGTTTTTTTTTAATAAGACTATTATAATAAAGTACTGTTGTATTTCATTCAAATATAACATCCATTAAGACAAGGATGCAAACAAAATCTTTTCTGTTTAAAGAAATCCAAGTATGTGAAAAAAGTAGCATAACTATGAAAATGCATGCAGAAGGCACTAGTGTTGACTGTGAAGATGTAGCCATCTCTTGGGACCTCAAGAGACCACAAAGTCTTTAAGGCTCGTACTGTGGCTTTACTGTGCCAGTGTTATTGTGAAAAACTCCGCAAAACATTCTCAAGTTGAGCGGGCACACTGAACTGGCTTTTTTTATTGAAGTAAAGCTTTTTATCTTCTAGGCAGGCCCTTCCTTTTAATGATTACTGTCAGGTATGCATAGATACTTTGAGGACACAACCATTAACTGAATATGGACTATGACACAGGAAACTAGCTTATGTTCACTACCAGCAATATAGAACTGTTAAAAAAAAATTACAATTTCAGAGCTGTATTTAATAAAGACTCCTTATCTGAAGCCACCCTCAAGTTTACTACTTATTTTCAGAAGATAAATACCACATAATTGGCAATCTTACTTTGACAACCACACAACTGCAGCCCACCACTTTGCGAGGTTTTCCTTCTCTGTCGATCTTGCAGAGACCCACCCATTCGCCCAGCTTCTTGTTGTCATCAACCTGTGCAGAGCATCGCATGACATTAGAACTTGACATTTCTGGCACCCCTGGCTCCAGCACAGAAGCTGCTGTACTGTCAGAAGAATTGGGTAACGGATGGCTGTTTTCCTCACAGGCATCAGCAGAGGGAGCCAAAGTATCATCATCGTACAGCTTGAGCCTCCCTGGAGTCACAGGAATGCTCCCCCTGCCCTCCACTCCCAACAGTAATTTTATTTCTTATAATACAGGACGCCAGAATTCACTTTAACTGCGCAAAATAACCAATCCACACCCCTTGCCATTTACATCCACAGCTTTTGTACTGTGGAAAAATGGCAATCACACAGAACTAGAACAATCTGCTGCTAAGGGAAGTTCTGCCTAGGTAAGCCATACACAGATAAAGGTCTAGCTCTCCACATGCTGAAACAAGCAGCGTAACTGTTCCAAACTTTTGTCTCAAGTTGACACTCACCTTTATTAAGTTGATCTGATGTTCTGCACAGAGTGCTTCAACTAATTTTACATATGTGGGCTCATCACAGTTTGAAGCCAGAACACAGAGATGGGCTTGGCGTCTAAAAAAAAATGAGAACTGACAAACGTTACTTCAGACACTAATTGAAATTTCTTGATAATAAAAATATAACTGAATTCAGCACATGCATTTCTAGAGAACCATTTCCTAAGTTTTAACTTTTGGATATGAGACACCATAAACTTTTGAAATACTAAATATACTTTTGATGTGATTTGTCACATTTTTATATTCTTCATATATACATTACAGGCTTTTCATACATTTTTATCTTTATCCTCAGAGTCTATTTCCTATTTTGAAAGCTTCTAAAAATCCCACTAAAGAAATTCTCAGCCACTGGAAAAAGGTCTGCTGAGTGGATAAACACTAGGTCCCCTATAGACCTGCCACTGGTACAAAGCAACCAAGTTACAAGTCACTTTTTCAGATTACAGTAATTTAACATTAGAATTGTAATTACTAAAAGTTTGAATTTCCATGTCAAGTTGTTGCAAGTTCTTCAGAACAATCTTTTCTACTTACGTTCAGAGAAGCTCTTATGACAGGGCCCCAATTCTAATTAGGATCTTTGTATACTGTGGTACAATGTTAAGATACCAAAGGGATACCTGACAACAGAGAGAGCTGAGTAGGTCTTCTATGCTTAACCTAATGCAATGTGACCTCTGCAAACAAAGCCAGTTTCCCCTAAAAAGACCTTCTACATCAGGAGGGCCACCAGAATGCCAGAAACATTTCCAAGCAAGAACCATCACACACAAATGTGTACAAGCCTCACACACACATCATCCTTTTAACACACAGCTTATAGAGCTGTAACTGAACTCAGAAGAACTCATACAAGCTGGCTGTCAGTCACCTAAGTTGTGTTTCTCTACCCTTGTTTAGTGCTTTGTCCCAGATGCTTCCACATACAGGTTTGTCAGACAGCAGTTCTCACTCACAGGACGAGTGAAGGGGTATCCGACTAACATTAAAGTTATAAGTCATCATCCAAACGCTGTAGCTTTATATTTAAGCAGATTTTTCTTGCAAGACAAGTATGGATTGAATATAAACACACACAGGTCTGTATGTATACCTATATATATACACTTTGCCCTACAAAAGACCATCACTAGTTATCGAATGACTGTCATGTAATTTCAATATTGTTTCGATATTGCACAATTGAAAATTTATTTACTGTTGCAACATACAAAAAAATGACAGCAAAAAAGTGTAAGGAAACTATGAATTTAAGGGTTTTTAATAAAACGAAATTTCTGGGAAAAATCTGAAATACATATTAACCCGACTAAAAGCTTATAAAGTTTTGTAAGTACTTTATTACTTCCTAAAACATAGGGTTCTTGAGACCCAGACCTTCATAGCTACATACAGAAAGCACCACTCAGTTTCTTTCACAAAACCCATACACCCAACATGAACACTGGATGGTCCTGGGGTCACAAAATGACAGAACCTAACACACCAGATACTGCTCTTCTTGAATCATCGAGTTTAGCTTCTATATTTTAAGACTCCACTTTAAGGCCCCAAACCAGAGGTTAGAAAAGACAAAAATTATTGGCAGAAAACTGTAGTCTTGGCAAAGGTTTAAACTTAACACCTGGACAAAATGGCCACTGCAGGTGTTCAACATACCTCATCTCAAGGTCTCACCCAGTTTTGCAATGCACAGTACAGAAACTGGTGACACCACACTTACTTGTCCAAGGCTTTGGCTGCTTCACGGATACCGCGAGCAAGGCCATCGTGGATAAGTGCGGTCTTCAGCACTTCTTGCAGAGCGGTGTTAACATCCATTACACCTCCAGCAGTAATGCTAAAGAGAAGACACATAATGTTCTGATCGTGCCAGCAACTTTCAACTAAAAGCAAAAGCTTCCCGTTCACCTGCAAGCATCCGACCATTAAAGAAGTGCAGAACAAAATCAAGTTAAAGCACTAAGCCAAAGGAAGGACTGACAAAGGATGAACTTGAAAGAAGCTAAAGCATTAAATCCTCCAGGCGAGCCACCGGGCCATGCTGCCTCCATGCTCCTTCGGAGAAGAGAGGACGCCATGTGCACAGCGGCCCTGCCCGGCGGACCCCGCTCCCATCTCCCGGCCTGCAGGAAGCACGCAGCAGCACCGCGCCGGGGCCTGCACACACGGCACAGCCAGAGCTCCCGAGCCTGACGCGC